CCATTACTTTCCTCTAACCATCTGCTGTATTTTCAAATACTCATGCAAACATCTAAAGCAAAGAGAATTCAAGGAGATAGATAGAAACACTGACCTTTCTTTAATAGGAAGTATTCTTTCTTTCAAAAGTGATTTAAAAGCTGGTGATTATTAATAACTATTTATGCATTCGTACTGAAAACGTATTATGTGTATTCACATACTTGCATTTACTTATGCAAATAAAATGATTAATGTATTATTAATTTGCCAAATATTTTAAGTTGCTCTGTTCCACTAACACACAAGGGAAAAGACTTGATTTAATTTGTGTTAAAACATTTTTATAAGCTCTCTGATACACATCTTTATTGAGGGTTAGTCTTAAATTCAAGCCCAGACAACTTCGTTGTGGTATTTACATAGCAGGTAAATTCCTAGTTTCAGTTCAGATGTACGAGCTTAAACACGTAACCTGTCCTTACAGACACAGCAGACTACAGCATGGCATATGGGCTGTTACAACTATTGAGGTTTTTAATTATTGCTTATATGGGCAGAGAGGGCATTTCAAAGCTACTTCCAGTTGAGCGTCTGCTGCCTCTTACAACAATGACAGAAGATGTGCAATATGCAGGCAAGCACAGACCCAGATCAAGTGGGATGTATGCAACACCCTCAGCTGTAATTGTGCTGCAAGCACTGCAGACATATAGGTACAGCAATTTTTCTGCTGTTTAGCAATAAAAAAACCTTCTCACACAGAAAAGAGATAGGTATCAAATAGGTCTAAAAACTTCTGTGCATCTTAGATCAGTAAAACAAAACAGGCATCCTGAGATATACTCTGCAAATGAGCCAAACTGTTGGGATAACACCAAGCCAGAGTGATGAGCTCTGTACCGGTTATCCTGTAAATTATAAGCAACTTTATTTTAGCCCCTTAACCAATTTCTTAAAGCATAGTACTTTCCCTTCTTTCAGCCCTTTTTAATTCCCAGCCACCTGTCTCCAACTACAAAAGCAGCAGCACTCAAGACATGAACTGCTAGGAGTTTGGACGGACTGTCATAAAGGGCACAAACTCATTAGGTGCAGGTACATGGAACTTCGTAAAGCACATGTTTTATAACAGGGAGATGAGAATACAGCTTGCTTTTTTTGCACTTGAACAGAAAAAAATTGGGAAGGAAAGGGCATGGGTGAGAGACAGCATATTTGGATTATTATTGCTAGCAAGACACTGAGCTGGAAAAGAAGCATTTTGGAGATGATGCTCATTGGAACAGGCTGCCCAAGGAGGTTGTGGATGCCCCATCCCTGGAGGTATTCAAGGCCAGGCTGGATGTGGCTCTTGACAGCCTGGTCTGGTGGTTGGTGACCCTGCACATAGCAAGGGGTTGAAACTAGATGATCACTGTGGTCCTTATCAACCCAGGCCATTTTATGATTCTATTATTCTATGATTCTATGATCGAGTATGGGAAGATGTGCATGACTGTGGGAAGCAAACAGGAGCAGCCACTTCTGCAGAAAGACAGGAGAGCTCTGAAACTGAAAAGCTTGAAAGGCACTGCTGCAGAAATCAGTCTTGATGCAGACTTTAAAGGAAAACAAAGGAACCCTTTTCTTGAAATGGCACAGAAAATGCACACCTATTCATCAACTGAATGAAAGATTTTAAAAAGGCACAACATAAGATTTGGTGTACATGCTTGTGATATTAGAATATGCAAACAAATCCAATTCTGTAGAGAAACAGTAGCACATGACCACAGAAAATTAGATCTTTTATACCTTTGAAGCAGAAACAAATACATAATTTATGTACATTTGAGTATATAGGCATAATAAACACAAACCTCAAGAGAAAACTATGAACTGCTACCCTTTTCTAAAAGTTCAGCACTTAGTTACATTTCAAAACAAGCAGAAAGGTGGTGGAAAACAATGCATCATGAACAGTCTTTTATCTAAAACTGCAGCTGAGGAGGAAATCCATGCCTAAAAATAGTTTTTCTCAGTTTTGGAGTCAGTTGAAAAGTTTTGAAGAAACTTATTTGAAGAAAAATTAAGCAATAAAGAATTTCTTCGTAATCTGGTAACACCATCTTCCAGACATATTTATGCATGTCTCGCACATCTCTGAACTGTTTATTTGAAAACTTTATAAACATAAGGATTTCCTTATGTTCTTGATTTGAATGATTTCTAGCTTTACCTATTTTTTTTAATAATCTTACAGACTACTTACAGACAATGAAAATACGCAGATTTAATAATACCCAAATTTAATATAAATTAAATATGCAGATTTAACAATACCAATAATAAAAAATGCAGATTGTTTACATGTGCTTAAAGGGCTGCTATTCATGTCACAAGTTCCCCTAAGCACAACACAAGAGGCAAACAGAAGGCAGATTTCATTTTGGTAGCAGCATTCAGAAGCACAAAGAGGACATGAACAAAGAAACAAACATTACAAGTAAATGCATTCCTTTTTTCTTAATCAATATCTTGTTAGACTGCTGGTTTTGACTCACTAATCTTTTGGTAAGTGGAAAAATGAAACAGATTGACCATTACAGAAAACAAACAAACAAACACACAAACAAAACCCTCCTGCAAATTAAACTCATTCTAATGAAATTGCTTGAAAAGTGTGCTGCTTCATCAAGCACAACTTTCATCAAGGAGATTGGACTACAGAGTGCCCATTTCTTTGAATTAATGTAGTTAGAGGTGTACTCTGAATCCGAAACACCTGAAAATAAACTTCCCAAACTCCTACTACCCTTATTTTTTTCTACTGCATATGTTTTTAAGGCCAGACAAGTTCCACCAAAATGAAAGAAGCAAGCAAAGTATGGCACTTTGTGTTCAACAGATTTTTGCAAATCTGAAATATTAGTACTTTAGTGATCTAAATGATCACTACATTATCGCTGTGATAGGGCATACAGAAAATTTACATAAAATGTCTGGAGGTTTGCAGTGAATCATTTTTCCTTTCTTCAGCAACTGTTGCACAGTGATTGATCCAATGCCGTGCAACAAGGGAAACTAGCAATTAAAGGCTTTCATGAATCAAGCATCTACAGATCCTGCTAACTACAGGAATAAAATCAGCAGAAAACAAGGAATCAGCAAAAGTGAAAAGTAAGCTGTGCAGAACCCACCCTTTGCTGCAAAACATGAAAAATCTGAATTCAGAGATTGTATGCATAATTCAGGATTATAACTCAATTAAGACAACTGTTTCTCTGATCTTGCAATTCTAAGACATTTTGCAGATGTCTGTGAAACCAAGAGTGTAAAACAAGTGTCTTTCTGTTCTCTATAACATAAGCTCTCATTCTGTTGAAAGATACACTTAGATTTCTCTGTACAAAAACAGTCTATGAAATGCAGGTCAAAAGATACACTGTTGTTCTAAAGGAGTTTAAAACAAGGGGAACAAAATTAACATATACAATAAATATCTTACCTATATGTTATTATGACATTAAGAATAAATGCTAACTGCTAATCTTGTTTCCTTTATAAACGCTCAGGCCCAAGAGCATAGGGGAAAGGGATTCCCAGCTATGTCAGCCCAGAACTAGAGGCAGTTTCATACATACAAGTTGTACAAGTTCTGATTCTACGCTAGCATAAAGATTTCTGCACTGTGCTTCTCCTGCAGGAATAAACACACCGTTCCTCTGCCGCAAGAGTTCACCCACAAGATCATTCATCACTTGCTTCTGTTTTGCTTCAGATGTGTCAAAACCAGTTCAGGTTTACTGAATTAGAAGCAAATAGAGCACTTACATAGAACAGAAGAGGGCAAGGTTATACAAATTTCACTAGCACAGACAGACAAATTAAATTGTTCATACATGGCTACACAAAAGGTCACTGTTAGCTTAGGGTTAACCAGAACTTCTTAGCTTATCTCTGACCTGGTTTTGACCTCCCTCATTAATTGTAGAAGTGTTTTCAGTTCAATTGATGAACTGTGTTTACATCTCCCATTTTCATAGTTTTTTTCACTTGCTTTTGAAAAATTAGAAGCAAAATATCTTTCCCTTATCAATAACTAATTAGTGTACAGTTATCTCCATGTTGTTACCATGACCAGAATAGACAGTAAAGACAAAGAGTAAGCAATTTCAGCTATTTCATGATGGAGGCATTTAAGAAGAATGGAACTTTAAAACCTTTATTTAACTTTTTTTTTTTTTCTTCTCCAGATCATAAACCATTAATTCACAAAGCTTGTAAAAATACTCAATTCCTCTGCTTCTAACAAGTACATAGACATCACTGGTAAAAGAGAAGAACTAGTCAAAGAGCACACAGAAACTTAATGGATTTGCAAAAATGTTAGTAGGTTGTACTCAGAAATAACTGTTTGTCATTGCATCATACTTCTGAATGGGCTGCCACACAGAACTTGTTTAACTCTTTTACTGTCCTAACAGCTATTTGTAAAGGTATGAATATGTTGTATACTGTTGGTCCGAAGCATAAAATGTCCCTTTTGTCCCTTTCTACAGAAGCGAAAATTTAGTTTTAGCACCTGAGTTATAATTCAAAAATGATTTCCCTACATTGACTTTATTCTTTTGTTTAGTTTGTTGTTGTTTGACCAGAAGGGTTCAGGTTCACTTAAAAATATGTGGACTTCATTTAAACAATTAAGTTTAGGAGACAAACTAAATCTGGCGGCCTTGTAAAATACTCATTCATTTTAAGAAGGGACAAAATATAAATCTCATCATTGAAAAGAACTATCCAAAAAACATGACTTACATGTAGTGATCTAAATAACATAAGGAATTAATGTTTGAAAACCTTCAAAAATTAGATTCTGAAATTAAAGTAACCAAAATTCCATATACTTCTAAATTCTGAAGTCTTCCCAGTCCGTTACATTGACATTCTGTTTTGTGATCAAACTTCTCCAAAAGAAATCTAACAGGTACTATTCGTCCAAGAGATAACAAATCTAAATCAAGCTCCAAATTTTCATCTTTTTTTTTTTTTTTTTTTTTTTTTCCCTAAGGAAATTAGGCTAATCTTCAATCATCTGAACAAAAGAATAAAAAACTTGTCCATTACTGTTCATCTTATTGGAGGTAAACTCTTTTTAACTATGAAGGGCCTCCAAGTTGCTTTGTTACACTACGCACAACTCCGTGGATTAAATTCAGATCCATATTCATTGGCTAGCTGCAAATACATCCCACTGTGTGGTACGTACCATTTTCCTATATTTTTACATTATTTAACAAAAGTTCCATTCTTCTAAGTTTGCGCTTATTCTTTGGCATTGGCTTGTCATATAAGCCATTTTTGAGAAGATGCTCCTTGCTGTGATGGATCTGGGCTCCATGCTGAAGCTGGAAAGAGCACAAAGCTTGAAGAGGACGTAGTATAGTCTGCAGAAAAAATGGAAGAGAGGGAGAAGGAAAAGATGAAAAAAAACCAATCTTTCCAATCTTCTAGTAGGCTGCCTTGAAGACATCATTTATTCAAGATTTTGTAATCAAGAAGTACTTTTAAAAAAAGATAAACTACAACCGTTGGAGCCACAGAGAATATCTGTGAATAAGGCAAAAAAAGCCATACATCCATCTACCTGCTACAGTTCCTTACTCCTTCCTTCTACACCTTCAGTTCCAGCCACATTCTTTACGTTTTAACTCGACCTCAGCAACCAACTACAATCACTGCCATGACTCAGCCAAATTGTAACAATAATAATAAAAAAAAGTAGCAGTAAAGAAATTGCTTGTGATTGCATGAAAATAACTTGAAGCAGGGTTTCAGAAAGAGATCTCGTGATCAAGGTAGCTAGACTGCTGTACTGGGGACTAGACTGCATCCCTGCTTTTTTTAGGAATACTATGCAGGATTAATGAAGCAACTTAAGGTCAACTTAACTCAAATGGTTACTAACTGTGCGTTCTTCATTTTCTGGTTGTCTGGGTCTGGTTCGTAACTACTCTTAGGTCTGTTTCAACAGGCTTACTAAATTGATATTATTAATGTCACCCAAAAAAGAACATTATCTCTTTCATCACAGACTAGTGTGATCAAAACTTGCAAGGAAAAGGCTAAAGTCCGATTAGCTTCCTTTGACCTTGGATAAACTTTAACTTAAGCACTCTTATGACCCAAATTCTTCAAATGACACCTAAGCGTTGTGAGCACGAAGACAAAAGCCAGTGGGTTGTATTCCATGCCTGCAGAAGTGCAGGAGGTCAGTAGGATAGGCTTACAAAAGCACTTTTCTCCAAGCTAGTTATAACATCTGTAGTCTACAAGCTAGCTTTTGCACAGGAAAACTTATTATTTTCCATGAACTAAAATACTTAATTGTCTACCTCAAACCAGATCAGCTATTGGTTTTGTTTTGTTTTTTTTTTTTTTTTTTTAGAATTACAGAACACCTTGCTGCTTTCTGACTTCAGAAGATCGTATTTACCTTGAAGATTACTGGACTTCAGTAAATATTTTGAGACTAACTACCACTAACTTAAACTCCTGAGAGTCTACCAACAGTCATTCTCAAAGACTTTTATCAGCTCAGTAATTTTAAACTCAGATCTTAAACAAACTTAAAGGCAGTTAAGTACTTGAATATTCTAATTAAGAAGAACAGAAACTTTCTGAAGCCAATTTGCAAATTTTCCTAACTTCTCACGTTTTTGAAGTAGTTTTCCTTTTTAAAAAAATACATTAAAATATACTTTAATAATTCCCAAGAGCTTCCAACTGATAGTTGGAACCTGAAATAACACTACTTCCCCTGTCAGACTATGTAGAGACTGGTGAAAATATTTGAATGAGAAATCAGATGTGAAAACTGAACAAATTCGTATTTGATCTCAAATGATCTAAATAAACTTTTAAAGTTATGCATACACATCCAAACATAAAATGTCTTACAGGACGTATGATTTAAGATAAATAGCCTGTACTGACTTTACCTACTGTTCAAAAGAAGCAGAATAAAGTCAAAGGCACAAAACCTTCTAGATTCAGGCCTAAAAGTCCAAATGTTGCCTACCGTGCCATTCAATATCAATGAATTAAATAACCAACATGCCTTTTTGACTTCAAGAAAATTAAAAGTCAATGTGATCATAGGTTATATAATCATTCCCAAGTTTACTAATACTTTCTGCTGCCACAAAATGCTAATCAAACTACAGAGTAAATATAACTTCAGTAACAAAAGAATATGTAAATTCCACATATTACAACAGAACATACAGTAAGCTAACACTGCACATAAAATACATCTAAATGCAATATTGTTAAGAAATAGCCCCTAAAAATCTGTTATAAAAAAAGAAATCAATCCAACATTACATTTATGTAAATTAGAGTACACATAATTGGTAAACAGTTTATGATCCTTTGTTTTGAAGTTTTGCAATAAGAAATGTCAAAAACACAGGAAGAGGTAATTCTCACATCTATGGTGCATTTATGCACCATGTGCACATACAGCATACAACACAGTACGGCACAGTTTTGGACTAATTCTTTAATTTTGTCATCTCTACAGGCTTTTATTCCACATTGTGAACAGCATAACGTACTTGGTGCTTTATCAAACAATTTCTTAATAAATGCATGGATTAAGAGAATTTGATTAATTCTTCTCAAGACATTTCAAACTGCAGGAAGGTATGTGCAAGGAAGTAGCATAAGATGGCAGCATGTAATAAGAAAGAAAAATGAGACAGAAGAAAAGAACAAACTGGACAAAACAGAGACTGCTGAGTTAAAAATATGTAAAAGCTACAAGTAGGAATAGTGAATAAAAAAGTCAAATAAAAAAGAGGGAAGAAGAAAAAGGAGATTGACTAGCAAGTACAAGAAAAACAGCATTCAAATCAAGAGAAAAACAAAACTGAAAACCGCACAGCACAAAAGGAAAGCTTGATAAAGAGTATCCCTAAGACAGCACAGTGAAAACCTGTAAAAGTTGAATTGTCTCAGGAAAGCAGTAGATAAAGGAAGTAAAGAAAAAAGAAGGGGAAAAAAAAGGAGCTGAGAAACTGAGATGGAAATGTAACAGTTGTTATCAATGAGCAATCTTCTCCAAATACAAAATGGAGCCTGACCACAGGCAAAACTGGTCTGTAAAGCAAATTCTGCATTCATCCACAATGAATATTTCAGCACTAAATGGGTTTTTTTTTTACAGGCAATGATCAGACAACTTCTGGTATTTTTAATATCATCAAGGCAAGATTTTTATCTGTGAGCTCTCCCCAGGAAAAGACAATCTTTAGTGGCTAAAAAGCAATCTAATTCCATCATGGGACAAGACAAAAAATACTGTACCGCCATTTACAGTTCTGAAAACAAAACTGTCAAAGCAATCAAGTAAATCTAATAAGTTCTGTCAGCAATCTGACAGCTATGTTAAACACAGCATAGGAAAACTAAATAGACTTTTCAGAGTTACAAGGCTCACAGAAAACTCAAGATACTAAAGTTAACAAATACCTGTAGAAAAATAGTTTCTACTGGTAGTCCCTTTTTAGTTTGCTGTGCAACAAAACTGTCAAATGCAATCTCTTATGATTTTCATTGTCAAATGCTGTATTAATAGCTAAGTAATTTTGCTGCCATCCTACTATTCACAACAGAAAAACTTTAGTATCTGAAATTAGTTACATACCTCTTGTATATTCTTATTTTTTTCCATGATAGCGAGAGCAACAGCTGCACACTCAAGCGTAGAGAGACAGTTGTTTGTTGGCTGTGTACGAATTACATATTGACTTGAAATGTTGGTTTTTAACTGCACCTGAAAAACAGCAAACTCTACTAAAATGAACTGGTCAGTATATCAAATATATTTCCTAGATTTATGCAGTTTTGCCTCCCAGTTGCCAATGACTTTATAATCTGTATACAGCCTACAAGTCACCATCTGAGACAAGAACTGCATATTCATTATTGTACAAACACTACAGAAAACACAAGTGTATGTCAGAGGTAGACTGAATTAAACAGGTTGTTTTTCTTCTGTGCATTTCATAAGCAAAAAACCGAGAAATTAAATTAATTTTAGCCATCAATTTCACTTGCCATGCACCTTCTGTAACAAAAATAAAACAAAATTATTCACACATTTGTTTAATTACACACTCTAATGATTCTATACAGATAATACAAAATATGATTCTGTACAGTACCCAATGGATACACATCATACTATAAGATAACTGTGTAATCACTGACCTATTTCCCCTGGTTAAAAATTGTCATTTTTCAAAAGACCTAAATTATACATTTATTCATACAATTCATTAATTCAGTGATTAGAGCAATTTGCTTATTCTTATCATGTCTGAAATTGATTTATTGACTCTGCATCAAGCAACACTTTATATTACCTCATAATTTAAAGGTACATCAGAAGAAGAAAGTTAATTCAACCAATTGCCTATTTCATTCGCTACAGAAACTTTCTCTGCATTTCTAAACAGCCATAAATTTTTGAGTTTCTTTTAAAGTAAGATATAGTATGGTGCAACAAACCCTAATGAGTCACTATTATAGTTCAAATCAATTCATTTTCCCTTTCTGAATCTCTAATAAACTACTGTTTATTTTTTCCATCTTCTATGGAAAATAGATTACTTTTTTTCCCTGACTGTCACAATATTGCTCCAATTTTCCACTAGCAGTGGGAAAACTAGAGGTTTCACTATTACCTGCTTTATTCAGACTTTTCCCTCTTCTTTGTATTTGCAGTGAATCATTTTCCTTCATCTCTATCACACGTAATTACCCCATTTTAAAAGTTCAAGATCTCTCATTTATAAAAGGAAATCTCCAAGTTAGAGGGGAACCTTGAACAAATTAGATCAAATTCTAATACTTTCCCTGGCCTCAACTTAATGGAAACTAAAATAAAACCACAAAAAATACAAGAGCCATCTGAAAAGGCAAAGTAAACCACCTATAAAAGCTTAATATACTCAAACAAAAATAAGGAAAAGAGAAAAACGTAATTTTGAGACAGAAAGTCTGACTCTCTTGTCAAAGGAAACTGCCTTGTCATTTTTTTAAAATGCTCTTGTTCTTATTGGATAGAACAAAATTGAAAGGCAAAATTATGCATGCATCAGAATGTTTTTAAAGTCTCTAGTATGGATTGTTCAGTTTGGAGAAGTCAGCTACTTCCTGCAATTTGTTATAGCACTAAAAAGTGAAAGAGGAGAAACAAGTTAAGGATAGAAAAAGTACATTTTGGATTGCGGTGTATATAATGAAAAGTAAACAAAATGAAATGAATATATTCACATTTTCATTTGTCATTCCTCAAAGCTCACTTTATGCTTACTTTCTCTTTCTGCGATCATGTAAGGATGTCCAGAAAATCTAGTTAATTGCAATTATACACAGATCTATTCTAATGGGAGCTTTTAGCCCCTCAGAACTGCTTACAAGATTATCAAAACAAAACCTCAGCGTAACTCCAACACAAACCCTGCTGCCCCAGGACTAGCCTGAGCAGTGGGACAGATACCTACCCCTGTTTTCTCACCATCAGACAATCACTGTCTCCACTGATTATCTCCACAGAGACTTCATCACCTACCTGAAGATGCACTGGCTTCCCCATCCTCAGACAGGGACAACAGTGCCTTAAGGCTTCTTTCATTCTTTTCATTGTAGGAGCTGTCTGGAAAAATTTCTATGCGCTAGTTTCTATGTTTCATTGCTTAAGGGTTGTGCAGAATAACTTCTAACTGCAAAAGAACTTCTAGGGAAGAAATGCTGCCTTCGCTCTGCCTTATACTCTGAAGTCCAAAAGTCTGTAAAGTACAGAATTCAAACAGCTGACACTGTACAAAAGGGCAAATTTGTATTTCTGAGAGCAAGAGGAACCAAATTCCTTCTTCTTTCTTGGAGATAATGAGAAGAGGGAAACAAGTGGTTTCCATCCTCAGATGTGGCTGGCAGACAGATGACACTACCTTTTTCAGCCAGCAGGCCTAATCCTTTCCTTGCCTTCTGAGGAGCTGAATTAATGGCCACCAAGGTCCTTGCAGGAAGTTCTCCAGCATCTAGACAGATTATTTCTTTGTTACGTGCATATCTCAAATCCAGCTGAACAAATTTAATTCTCTCTTAAGGAAGCAGTGTAAATGAATTCACATCGTCTACCCTAGTACTATAATTCAAAATCTCAGAATGGGTGTACATAAGCAATATATTTAAGTACATTTCAGAAAGATAATCATAGTATTTTATAATTATTTCACTACAAAATGCTGAAGATGTAGTGATAAAAAAATAACATACTCAAAATAATTTTACATAGTCAAAATAATTTGCAAACCATACACATTTTGGAATATTTTCAGTTATTGTCAAAATACAGCAATGTCAGGTTGAAAAAACAGCAATGCATTTAACACTGCTCATCAGAATGAATAGCGTAAGACAGAAGATGGAGATATCTCAACTAATTCAATTAGAAAGAGGAATTAAGATAAGCTGAATGGAACAACTCACTGGAATTCAGCTAGAACACTGAAATTAGGGTATCTATACAACACATACGACAAAGTTTTCTATGTGTAAATCAAAACCCAAGGTTTCCAGAAACCTGCATGCTAGCAGTTCTCACATTTTATTACACTAACTAGCTGAACGCAGGATTCTGTGTTGGCTCTCTAGTCTCTGAGCATTTGCAGAGCATCTGAATCACAATAGAAACAGTGGTCCATCACAATTTCTTGGGTGCTGGGATTTTCTTCAGGGCCCTCTCTGGAATGCACTGGACACAACATCCTAGTGGATGATCCAGCTCAGCTGTTGAGAACTGAGCAAAGCAAAGATTGGCCTTGATATGGTCAAATACTTACTGATGGAAATTTTCCAAAATTCAGTAAGTTAAGGCAGGCAAGTGGACTCTGCTCTTATTTTAGATAGTAGAACTGAAAGTCTTGCAGAAAGCTTGAGTGTTATCCTCAGTCCCCTCCTTAATGTCAGTTTCCTTATCTTTTAACCTTTTCAATGCCAGTTTCTTCATCAGTATTTTTACTAGCTTTATTCCCTAAAGAGAATCCAGCATTATGCACAATTATATTTGGAAAACAATGCATCCCAAAGAACAAAGAAAAGCAATAGGGTTACTACATCTGTCTCTGACAGCACTCTTTCAACAGTTCTTGGTTTCCTCTGCTATTTTCTGCAATTAGACCATAGGTGCACCAAAATACAAAGAGGAACAAAATATCCTTCTGCGGCTTCAGTGAAAATCCTAGCACTTGTTTTAAAGCCCCCTCTTCCTTTACTTATGTTGACAGAAATTCTAAAATTTAGGTTTCTGTTTCAGAATTGATTTGCTCAGCTCTAAGAGAAGGATCAAAGAAAGAGCCATCAATCATACTTTTTAACTTAGGCAGTGGTTACAACTCACACATGCCGTTACTCCAATTATCTTCCAGAAAAAAATAGCATAAGCCCCCCCCCCTTTTTTTTTATAAAGGAACTCAAAGAGCATAAAATAACAGAAAGACTGAAAAAAACCTGCCATTTTGGTCTTCATTCCAGAAACGAAGAAAAATCGCTTTTAAGTTGCTGATAAGGAACAGCATTGTCTGTGTGCTACTTCACAAATAAACCCCAACAGGAAACAGAAATGGGCATGGGAAAGATCCCTCACTCAGCATCCAGTTGGCAAGTACCCTTTGCCTGTAAGCCAATACAAACTGTATTCTATATATTAAAGCACAGAAAACTCAAGCAGTTAAATAAAGTTGCCTTCGTGACAGAGAAAATAAACTGAGTGAAGTTAGTCTCAGTATGCCACTGAAATTTAGATCAGAAATATAAATAAGTTATTTCATTCAAAATCCTGGCTTTAATTTCAAGTGACATCTTAAGAGCAGTGTTTTCGAGCACTGCAGGGAACAACTGCCATGAAACTGTCACAAATGGATAGCCTGAAAAAGTAAATGGATGTCACAAAAAAAACTTCTGCCCACTCCGCATGTTTTTTAATTGAATACTTAGGTGTATCTGTGACATTGCTGTGTGTGCTCCATGTACCATTTGCTGCATCAAACCACAAATCTTACTGTGACTTTCAGGTAGACCTTAAGAAAGCAATTTGTTCCATTTCTATGAGACAACAAGGTATTTTCCATGTTTTCTTAGATATTTCACAATGACCACCTGAAATCATTCTGTGTTTGCGTACCCCACAAACCTTCCTCTTGGCAATGTATGACTAGGGATATCTCTCTGCTACTGTGACTAGAAATGTGATAAACATAATATTCCCTTTTGCTAGAGAAGCAGAACAGCTTCTGTAGAACAGCACAATGTGGCTACAAAACATTCTCTGTGCCCAAACTACTTTCTTCCTTTCTTCCTGAACTGCAATCCCAATTCAGTCTTCCACACGTCCAACACAGAAAGCTTCTTATACCCCTATAAAAAGTACCTGTATAAGAGCAGCACTCTGAATTTCTTCCCAAGGTCATTAAATATATGGCTAAAAGATGAAAATACATTGTACTTCTATGCACTTTCAAAAATGCCCTTATTTTGCTCCTGCAACCAAAACAGTTTAAGAAACGAACTGTTATTCCAGCAAGCACTGCACAGTGAAGATATCTGGTCCGAAACAAGTCATTAGAGCTACTTGTTGAATTACTTATTACTCATCATCTGCATATAACCCTAGAAAGATGCCTCTTTGTTCCCAGACTATGTTTTTATGTGGAAAATTAAGCTTGTATAGAATATTTCTCTAGTCTTGCTTTCACTTTTAGATAAAGT